ACAAACTTGGTAATATATTGAGCTATGTATTTATTTGCCGGTCACGGTAGCCGAGCGGTCTAAGGCATGCACTGTCTTCGCTCGCTCGGAAGCAGGGATCATGGGTTCGAATCCCACTCAGGGCATGGATGTTTGTGTGCGTTTTTCTGTGTTTGTGTACAGGTAGAGACCTTGCGACGAGCTGATCACCCGCCCAAGGAGTCCTACCGAATGTATAAGATGTAGAAAAACCGAAGTGAACGGAGTTCATGGAGGTAGGCCTAGGCCCACTGGGGCTGTAGTGCCAAGGAAAATTAAAAAAAAAGTATTTATTTACGTTATATTTAACAAGACTGTCAGTATCTCAGACTAATTAGCCTAGAATAGTAGTTTGATTAGTGAATAATGAATTGGGAAAGAATGAGGAAAGAAGTGGTCTTGGTCTGTTTGAGATAATTACTATCCTTGCATTTGCAGCAAAGTTCTAAGGAAACCCCAAACAAAAAAAAATGTTTCGTTCTCTCTCTCGGCCCCACGACCGCGTCCTTCCACTCCAAAACAATTCATTACTCACGATCACCCAATCACTGCACACAGGATAGGCTGAATTACTGACAGGGTCGTCAAACAAACTAAACGGCGAAAGAAAGACATTCCGGGAGGGGGCACACGAAGACAACAGTCGTTCCATCAGTGTCAAGCATGGAAGTAACCCAGGACCTGAGCCATTCTCATTAACCTGGGTCTTCAAGAATATATTTGGGGTTCAAGTCAAGATGGTAAGTTTTGTGAACTACTTTGGATACGGACAGAAGAATTTTGTCGGAATTACTGGGTGTTTTGGACTTTTTTCATCGTCAGGTATTATAAAAAATACAAAAGAATGCAGCGTTTCGGGAACTGGATTTGTTTCCGTCCTCAGGTAAGGGAGTGAGTACAAAGTTTGCTAGGTCAATTAGAGAAAGAGCTAACCTCAAAGGACCATCCAGTTTCCGACCTGTTGTGTTCTTTAGAATACTGGAGGATGGACGAAGCCCCAAAACCCAGTAATCCCGAATGTTATACACACCACTGTCACAACCCCTTCGAATTGATTTGATTTTTTGTTGACTGAGTGGTGTAATTAAAAGGAATGCATATAGGATATTGGTGGGAAAGCCAGAAGGAAAGAGGCCACTGGGAAGACCAAGACGTAGGTGAATGGACAATATTAAAATTGATCTTAGAGAGATAGGATGGAATCGTAGTACGCGGGTTCAAATACCCGGCGGAGGTCGTCGAATTTTTAAGGGCGGAAAAATTCAGGGAACAAGTCCTCCGGGAGGGACTTTAAGCCGTGGGTCCCGTGTCGTAGCTTTACGGCACGCAAAAGAACCTCATATCTCCAAAGGAGGTCACTGAGCCAAATTACGGACGTTTCCCGCCCAACAGCAGTCTCTAATACCTCTGGTAGATGGGGGAAGCATTATAGATACCTCTCAGCTAGTAGNTTCCATAAGTAAGTAAGGGTGGTGTAATTTGGAAAAGTCCGTATCTTACAAGACCCTACAGTTAATACCGCAAAGCGAATAAAAAACATAAGAGGAACTGGCCTGCATGTGTGTACTGCACAATACGCAGTCGGTTATTTCCCTGCTCGGCCGCTAAGCAAACGGTTAAGGACTGTCCCTTGAAGAACACCTGGAGTTTTAGCGACAGGTAGAGACAGCTGGTCTGGTTGGGACAGCTGCGCCTAGTAGCAGCTAGTCCCCGAGGGGAAACAAATGTGCAGAGAGAGGAAGTGCAAGTTCGTGGAGCTTTTGTTGGACGCTTCCACCTCATACATGCTGCGTTCTGTTTGCCTTGGGAACCAGACGGGATTTCTTAAAGAAACGAACGGCCTCAATGGATGCAACTCAGCGTTTTGCTATTCTGTCTTTCATTCGCTCTTCTGTCACACGTTACGCTTGGGTACGGTTCTCGAAGCTTGACTTTACAGGCAAGACAACACGTAGTACGTGAATTAAATTGTTTTCAAAATAGAAAATAATCTCCAAGTGCTGTAATAATGTTGACAGCTACAATAATTTCATGCTTAATTTCAATTGAATTTATCTTAGTAATAATAATAATAATAATAATAATAATAATAATAATAATGCCGGTCACGGTAGCTGAGCGGTCTAAGGCATGTACTG